TATGATATTCTCATAATTTATTTTGCACTTTTTCTTGCATCTTTAGGGCCTAAAACCTTGTTGTTCTTTTGCTAGTATTATAATTTCATTTAATTTATTTGTTACTTTTTTTATTGTTAATTTTAGTGTTGTGTTTATTAAATTTATTCCTCTGTAATTTTTCCTGTCCTATTCGTCTCCCTTTTTGTTGTTGATTCTTATGTTACATAATATTAGACTATAGTCGCTACCTACATCAGCTCAGTTGATGCATCTTAAGTCACTTATTTTTAATGGATGTATATCTTTGTTGATTATAACGTAATCTATTATAGATCCTTGTTTGCAGCTGTTATTAAATGTATATTTGTGTTGGTCTTTGTAGTCAAAAGATGTGTTGTTTATTTCAAGTTCGTTATTCGTGCAGAAGTTTGTCGTCAGTTCTCCATTTTCGTTTTAAAATTTCTTGTGATGGTTTTTCATAATTCTCGATATTACTTGATTATATTAATTATCAAAAGGATATACAAGAAACCTACACCAAACAAGATAGTACCACTGTGAGTAAGATACAACAAAGGTTCTTGAAAATGACAAACCCTATAAAGGAAGCTACGTCGAAGAACATACCAAGAACAAAAAGATTTGAAAAATTACTGTTTCGATAACGAATTTAGAACGGAGTTAAAAAAAATCAGATTTGAGATTAAAAAGTTTACGATTTTAAAAACCAGACGACATAGAAAGGTATGCCGAATAACAAAAAAAAAGTAAAGGGAATCCTAAGGGAGCGGAAAAGAAAGAATATGGATGATCAAATAAAGCGCATTGAAGAAAATTACAAGAAAATTAAAATAAAAATTTTTACAAAGAAGTAAAATACAATAAAACTGAGTATCAGGGAATAACGATGAATGGTAAAGATAAGCAAGGAAACCTGATAGTGGACGAAGACCAAATATGTGAAAGGTATATTTTGAAGAGATGCGAAATGACGGAGTAACTACTGAAGAAAATTGTTATGTTTCTAAACCTCAAATAGTAATAAAAGAAATACAAAAGAGCACAAGAGAAGAAATTGAAAAAATAATAAAATATAAAAAATCCAAAAAGCCCCAGGGTGAGCGGCATTGGGGCAGAGAACATAAAATATGGAGGAGTGGCCGTAATAAACAAACTTGGTGAGCTAATACAAGAAGTATGGGATGCCGAAGAAATGCCCTAAGAATGGAATATGTCGATTATAATTCCTTTACACAAAAAGAGAGATAGAACTGAATGCGCAAACTGTAAAGGAAAATCCTTATTAGAGATAAAATATAATGTACTCGCCATACTTGTTAAAAAACGATTGGAAATATATATATATATATATATATATATATATATATATATATATATATATATATACATATATATATATATATATATATATATATATATATATATATATATATATATATATATATATATATATATATATTGTTATGATGTTTTGTTGTATGAGCTATGAGAAAATTTGAATGATATATGTAAGTATAGGGTTTTTATCGCGGTTCTCAAAGAATTAGTTTGTAAGTACTTTTTTAAATTATCCTATCTATCTATCTAATATAAGCAATATTAATTTAAAACAGTCTATCTAAAATTAAAAATTCTTACAATTATTAAATTATTAACAAAATTTGGTACCTTCTTTCACTGAACGCCTAAAGTTTTTCCAAAATTAAAGTTATTATCACCACTCGATATTTTCTTACTCTGCCTTGATTATCCAACAATTTTAATATGCTTCTTCTTAATTATCTCCACTCACCATATAAATAGATAAATTTATATCCTTGTAATTTCCATATAATGTACTTTCAAATGTACTGGATCTTGTGGTTGTATTATTGAATGCTTACTTCAATGAATTAACTTCATACTATCACTATATTACTGTAGTAATAATTAATCTTCAACTGTAGTTGACTTATTTAACTGTACTTCTCTGTTCTTATTTTACTGTACTTCATTTAACTTAATGCCTTCTTCTAGCTTCAAATTAATTCACTTAATAATCTTGTAACTGATTTAATTTCTTCTAACTAACTCCACTAACTGATGAATAATCTTCTTGTAACTAATCATATTCTGTAACTAACTGACTAATAATAATCTGTACTTGACTTCCTCTAATTGATAACTCTGATAACTGAACATACTGACTGTCCCCGCTCCAAATTACCTGGTATATATATTTTTTTTCGTTTCCAGAATAATCTAGCAATAAATAATGTTCGAATCATTCTATTTGTTCTATCGGAATGTTCTGGAATCGTTTTTGTCTGTGATGTATTATGCAAATAGTCCCATTGACATTTCTAGAACTTTCCATTTACAATTTACTTGACTTTAGGCTCTCCAGATCAGAACTACACTATTATATGTAACTTAAACATTTATATGAAGTATATTTTTACTATTCTTCATCCACAATTATATTCTAAATTAACATTCCAAAAATAAATTACTTTTTGACTTTGACACTACAGTGTATGTTTGGTTGCATAAGCACATGGCTGACTTAAAAATATTTAATATTAAATAAAATAAAAAAAAACTTCTTAAACTTAATTCTTATGCTAAATTCTTAAAAATACCCTCATATAATTATTTTTTAATAATATTATCTAGTACATAACTTACACATTATGTCTCTTACCACTATTTAAATAAATCCACTAATCAACACTGTATATCTGGTTGTATATATTTCCATGTTAATTTATTGCATTTCTGTTCTCATTATAATATATATATATATATATATATATATATATAATATATATATATATATATATATATATATATATATATATATATATAAGGAAGAATCTAGGAGAATTCCAGGGAGGATTTCGGAAAGGAAGACCAACAACCGATCATATTTTTATGCTAAACCAAATCCTGATCAATTGCAATGAATACAGAATTTTAGCACAAGTACTTTTTATTGATTACAAAGTTGCCTACGATACAATAGAAAGAGCAAGTTAATAGAAACACTAGAAGAATTCCAAGTGCCAGAAAAGATAATAAGATTGGTAAAAAGACAATTAGACAAACCGTTTGTGCTGTGAGATGCAACGATACAGTCTCAGAAGAATTCGAAGTAAAAAAAGGTGTTCGCCAAGGACACAAGCTATCTACATTGGTATTCAATATAGTTCTATAAAAATTTTTAATGGTTAGTGGGATAAATAGGTCCGAAACCATTTTATACAAGGAGCGCCAATGCTTAGAATATGCTGATGATGTGGTTCTCATTGCAAAAACTGGAAAAAAACTATCAAATATAGCAAAAAGACTGATTCGGAAAAGCTCTAAAATTGGACTGAAAGTGATTATTAATAAATCGAAGTACATGGAGATCTCGAGCAAAAAAGGAATAAACACCGGGGGAACCTTTAAATTGTAGGTAGAGGAGTGATCAGTTGTAGAATTCGAGAAGGTGGATGAATATATGTACTTAGGTACTCTTATTGATCAGATATGTAAGGAAAAAACTGAAATTAACCTGAGACTAACCAAGAGCAACAGGTGTGCTGGAGCCATGAGCAAAATAATTAAGGCCAAAGATATATCTCGTAATACAAAAATAAAAGTATACAAAACTATAATTAGACTCACAATGTTATACGCTGCCGAAATATGTCCTATAAACAAAACCCTACAGAACACATTGGAAGCATGGGAAAGAAAGATACTTCGCAGAATATTTGCTGGAAAAGTAGTAGAGGGAGAATGGAGAAGAAGAACTAATGGACAAGTGTACCATTCGTATGCTAACCCTACAATAACAAAAGTGGTAAAAAAACGTAGACTGGAATGGCTCGGTCATCTAGAAAGAATGCAAGGTAATAGACTAGTCAAGAATCTTGCTTGAAAAGTACTTGAGGGTAAAAAAAGAGAGGAAGACTAAGAAAAAAATGAAGAGCTGTAGTCATGGAAGATGCCAGAGAGATGGGAATCAGATTGAAAGCTGGTATCTAAGAACAGAAAACGATGGAAACTATCCATCCAGAAATGGGTCTAAAAGGCCTGTTAACGCTGTACATACATACTTGATTATACAGATTGAACGAAATAAATTCGGAACATACGAAATACTATGTATTTCGGCTCAATTCTGCTGTAGGTGGTTGGCGAACAAAAGGTTGTCAAATAATTATATTATAAAAATCCAATACCTCAGCGGGCTACTGGATTCTAAACTAATTCGAGAACTCATTCATAGGTGGTCAAACCACCTATCGCTTCCTAAAGCCGGCCACTCACGGTACAGCGGTGTCGTTCGACATAATCGGACAGAGGCGTTGTTGAATTTTTTGGTATATCTGGTGCGCCCACACACCATACTGCGCCGCAGTATTTGTTCGGTTCTCGACCATGTCAAATGAAACAATCATTTTAGCGTCTCTTACTTTGTGTATAAATTCTTTGTGTATAGATTCTGGTGCAAAGAATCTAAGATTTTGGTGCAAAATAAATCTCGTCTGCCCCTGCACCGGATTTACTGGACTGCGCTGCTAATTTTAATTCTCTTTTATAGATATTTATATATATATATATATTATATATAATATATATATATATATATATATTATATATATATATATTATATATATATATATATATCTATATATATATTATATATATATATATATATATTATATATATATATATATATATATATTATATATATATATATATATATATATATAATATTATATATATATATATAATATATATATATATATATATATATATATTAATATATATATATATATATATATATATATATATAATATATATATATATATATATATATATATATATATATATATATATATATATAACATATCTATATGTATAACACAGATTTGCGTAAAAAAGTAAAAAAAGTACAAATGGAAGTAGAATAAAATTATTGAACAAATGTTTTGGTTTATAAAAAAAATGTTAGTAAAACTTACAGGCAAATAGAAGAATAAACAGACACACAAGCTATATTGAAGAAACCGCATTGTTCGTGCTTCAAAGAAATCAGGCTAACATATGAGGCATATTTTTTAATAATTATACTTATTTTCTAAACATTCATAAATTATCTATCTATTTTGATAAATGTAAGATTCATAATTAACGAGTAAACATGTTACGTAATATGTGCAAATATTCAATATAAAACAATTAATGCAATAGAGAAAGTTAATTTAAAAAAAAAACTAGTTTTATAATAATAGACAAAAATAATATTAAGCATTTATATTTTATTTTTAATTTTACCATGACCTTTTTAATAGGGATCAGTAATTTATCAATGTCTTTCCCTCTCTCAAAGTCCTCTTACCTCTCTTTCATCATACAACTCTTCCATGCACAGCGACTTGAGTCTGGAATATTTTAGTTTATATACATCAATGTACTTACACACATATATGTTTGCTCCTTTTTAATACGCTATACGTAGAAATTGAAACACCCATAATCCGTGAACAGCTTAGTCAAATAATAATTAATGTCCACGTTATAAGTGCCAGTCAGATTTTATTAATAAAAGGCTGTCGAATTTGTGTTTATCTCTTTATCTCTCTTATACACACATATACTCACATACACATACACGTTTTAGGTCAACCTGTATTTATTTTTATCTTTAATTGTTAGTGCGATATTCAGACAACTAAACGATTGTGTACCAACGAAAACTGTTACTGCATTGTTATAGTACTGCGTTCCTGGGATGGCTTTATTGTAAGGTACCTAGTTCATTCGATTACATGAAATCAACTTTAACTTAATATTTGTCAGAAAGATCCTAGCATCTTTAAAAAAACCACCATATCCAATGATAACATTAAAATTCTCCTGTATGTGATTCCATAGTAAATCATGAGGAAAAAGCCAACAAAAAAAACCTCACAATACTATCCCGACATGGTAAGTATTTGGTCTGACATTTAGTTTACTCTCAATAAACACCAAATTCTGATTTTTTATGTACGTTATTTAAAAACATACATGATGTATCTTCGATATGTTTCTGACTTACTAATAGTGGTATTTTGCTTGAATTGACTTCATCTTCTTCTATGGGTAGCCAGATTCTACTTAATTCTGTCTAGAAATTTGCTACAGAATTGGTCTCATTTAGCATAATTAGAGACGCTTTTTTGATTTATTTTACTATTTGCTGTGTTTAGGACTATACTTGAATTGTTCTATTAAACCGTATGTTCATTTTCTCATAAGTTTAATAAAATGAAACAAAACATGAGCAAAGAGAAACTTAAAGCTGTAAGAACTTTAAAAAATGACGACCACATAATTATCCTACCAAACGACAAGGGGAATGCAACTGTGATAATGAATAAAATGCAATATAAAACAAAGCATTAAAAATGGGAAATCACAAGGACCTTATTAGGTGCATGGTAAAATTTATTAGAGGCACACCAAATCACAGCTCTTACGTAGCTATTTAATAACATCTACGAGACTGGTTACTTACCAAAAGACCGGCTACTCTCAATATTCATTGGACTTCCTAAAAAAGTTAACTCTAGAAAATGTGACAAACATATATTAATTAGTTTGATGAGCCATGTACTTAAAGTACTCCCTTTTATCATCCACTCGTACATATACACCAAATTAAAAGAAGAACTGGTTGAAGTTCAATTTGGATTTAGAGCAGGACTGAGAACGAGTAAAGCACTTTTTAGTTTTCAAGTTCTAATACAGAGAGCCACAGATGTCAGCTGCGATGTATATGCATTTCCAATTAATTTCGAGAAGGCATTTGATAAAGTACCACATGGGAAACTAATCGATATTCTTTAAACATCAGGACTCGATGGTAAGGATATAAGACTGATCTCAGACTTATATCTCCAACAAAAAGCAACATTATGATTAAAAAATGAGCTGTCCGAGATCTTTATAGTCGAAAAAGGAGTTAAACAGCGTTGGATATTGTCACCGGCATTATTTAACATATACTCTGAAAACATATTTAAAAAAACCTAGGACGAATCAGAAGATGGGATTGTTTAAATGGCCAACTTCTAAACAATATTAGATATGCAGACGATATAGTGTTGCTGGAAGATAGTGCGCAGGGGCTTTAAAGGGAAATGGATAATTTTGTAAAACTAAAAATACGGCCAACAAATACGGCCTAAAACTAAATTGCAAGAAAACAAAAATAATGAGCATTAGTAAGAACACCAACATAAACGCTTATATTACAATAGGTGATAAACCGTTAGAAAGAATAGAAAAAATATGCTATTTGGGCTGCAATATTAAGGATACTTGGGACCACAGCTACGAAGTAAAAACTCGTTTTGAAAAAGCCAAAAGTTTCTTCAACAGCCTTAAAAAGATTATCTGCCACTTATCCTTAAAAGTATCAATATACGCATTTAAGAATTCTTAGATGTTACGTCTTTAGTGTCCTTCTCTATGAAGTGAAAATCTGCAGCCTTGGGTCAATGTGGTCACCAATATCACTAGAAGATAGGCACACTTTGAAGAAGATGAAAACAAAATTAAAGATTTCATTACAAAAGGAACGTATACAAAATTAACAACCAAGAGTTTAAATATAATAAAATAAAAATGATGATACATTGGCAAGTAGAACAAAACTTAACATATCATTTATAATGGAGTTATTGACATTATGTACTGATAATAGATATTTTCAACTAAATAATGAAATCTATAAATAAAATGTTGATCTAGCAATGGGCTCCTGTTTATCACCATTATTACCTTATATATTAATGGAAGATTTTAAAATAAATATTGTTTCTACACAACATTTAAACCCATAGTATGGTGGAGATATTTATGTGGATGACAGATTCTCAATATGGCCATATAGATCAAATTGTTGTACACATTCCTAAATGATATATACGATAATGAAAAGACAATAATATTTAACATGGAATATTATTGTAATAACACACTACTTTTCTTAGATGTTTAAATCTCTAAGAACGATACTAGATATGAGATACTGATGTATAGAAAACCAGTACACACCAACAGCTATCTAAATCATTAAAAATTATTAAATCATGCATGAAAAAAATTCATTCTTAGATGAGACACCTTTGTTAACATCTATTTTATTAAAAAATTATTATCATTTATCGTTTATTAATAAGAAATTTTCAAAAATTAATGAAATGAAACAAAACAACTTACAACGAGATAATACAGCATAAAAAAGGAACAATACGAGGGAAATAACAATACCAGTCATAAAAAAATTATTTTTATGACTGGAAAAACTTTAAATGATAGGAAATGAATTCAGCATCCAAAAACATACAAAACAACATTTCACATTTAATTGTATTTCTACAATACCTTATGAATGCGATCATTTTAATTTAGGTGAAACATCAACACCAATAAATGTTAGAATAAATGAATATCAATTTTATAATAACAATAAGGAATTTAAGAGAACTGAAATATACGCCTGAGAAAATAAACATATTGTTCAATGAAATGATTTTCGTACTGTATTAAAAGAAACAGATGATAGAAAGAGAAAAATTAAAGAAGTGGCTCTAATTATGCTAAATGGGACCAATTACATTGCAAATTCTTCGGCAAAATGCAGTAGAATCTGCTTATTCACATTAAAAGAGAAAGTTAGTAAAAGAAAAATACCACTATTCGTAAGCCAGTAACATATCGGGGATATAACAATTGCGTAGCAAATTCCTAGACAGAATTGAGTAGGATCTGGTTCATCATCATCAATCAGCCAATCGCGTCCACTGCTGGACATAGGCCTTCCTCAGTTCTTTCCAGTGTTCTCTACACTGGGCCGCTTGTAGCCAGTTTCCCGCTACACGTTTAATGTCATCAGTCCATCTAGTCGGTGGTCGTCCTCGGCTTCTTTTATAATTTCTAGGCCTCCATTCCATAATACGTCTTGTCCACCGTCCATCTTATGTTCTGGCTAAGTGCCCTGCCCAGTTCCACTTAAGCGTCGTGGTTCTTTCGATGACGTCTTGAACTCCTGATCTTCGCCTGATTTGTTGGTTTGTTATGTGGTCTCGAAGGCTCACGTTCAGCATTGCACGTTCCATGGCTCGTTGTGTAACTCTAAGTTTATTCGCAGATTTTTGCGTGAGTGTTAAAGTCTCTGCTCCATAAGTTTGTACAGATAAAACACATTGGTTATAAACCTTTCGCTTGAGACACATGGGAATTGAACTTTTTAGAATATGGCTTAATTTGCCAAATGCTGCCCATATTGGACCTATTCGCCTCTGTATTTCATGTGTTTGATTGTCTCTGCTTATTTTGATTTCGTGTCCCAGATATTTGTAAGTGTGTGATTGTTGTATGGTATTATTGTCAATAGTTATATTTCCACTCATTACGAGATTTGTTATAATTTTAGTTTTCTCAAAGTTTATCTTTAATCCTGCTCTTTCAGACAGACTTTTAAGCGAATGCATTATAGAAACTGTATCATGTAAGTTATCTGCGATTAATACAACATCATCTGCAAACCTTAGGTGATTTAATCTTTCTCCATCTATATTGATGCCCATATCTTGCCATTGAGTACCCTTAAATATTGACTCTAGAGCTGCCGTGAACAATTTTGGTGAAATATTGTCTCCTTGTCTAACTCCTCGACCTAAGCTGAATTTTTCTGTGTCTTCGTGCAGTCGTATACTTGATGTAGCGTTCTGATAGATGTTTTTGATTAGTGTCGTGTACCTGTAATCTATTCGGCTTTGATTTAGGGCTTCCAGTATTGTTTCGAACTCTACAGAATCAAAAGCCTTCTCGTAATCGACAAATGCAAGAACCAGTGGTATGTTGTACTCGATGCACTTTTCTATTAAGATCTTTATGGTATGCAAATGGTCATTTGTGCCATATCCTGCCCTGAAGCCTGCCTGTTCTTTGGGCTGATAAAAATCAAGTTTAGGTGTTAGCCTCTTTGTTAAGATTTTCATAAAGAGTTTGTACATATGTGTCAAGAGGCTGATGGGTCTATAATTTTCTAATTTAGTAATATCGCCTTTTTTGTGTAACAAGACTATTACTGCATTGTTCCTGTCTTTTGGAATCGTACCCGCATGTAAGCATAGGATCTGGTTACCCATAATAAATATGAAATCAATAAAAGGAAAATACCACTTTTAGTAGGTCAGGATACCTAACATATCGAGGATACATCATTTATACTTTTAAATAACATCTAAAAAAATTAGACTTTGGTATTTATTGAGAGTAAACTAAATGTTAGACCAAATACTTACCATGTCGTATAGTAATCTGAGGTTTTTTTCTTCATGATTAACTGTAGAATCACTAGCAGAAAAATTTTGCTGTCATCATTGCATGTGGTTCTCTTTTTAAAGACGAATCATATGTTATGATTTTTCTGATAGATATTCTTAAATTAAAGTTGATTTCATGCAATCGAATGAACTATCTTACAAAAAAGTCGTCCTAAGAACGCAACTTAGCAATATTGGTGATTTCATTTTAAAGTTGCTACAACAACGGCGCTTAAGTTGACTCTCTGTCTTTTATCGTTGAACTTTTTAGCTGTATTTTTAATGTAAAGCTTTTTAATAATAGATGTATTTGTTTTATTTTCCATTTCATTTTTCCTTTGTGCTTATATATTGCTATTTGCAGCTATACATTTTTTTGAAATTTAGTTTGTTTTTTATCTAATTTCACGTTTTTATTTTTTTTTGTTATTTTAACATAAACGTATGATCATAATAATATGTATTATGTATATAAACTGTATTATTTCCGGTTTAAAGTAAAAAAATAAGACAGCATATTAACTATATAATAAATTTTTATTACAATTTACAAAAATTTCAAACTAAGATTGCCTATTTAAGGAGGGATAACGTAATTTATCATATTTCGCGGGACACACGAGTAAATTTAAGGCTGCACTCTTTGCAGTGGAACCCTCAGGTCTGATTGCACAGTTGGTAATAATTGTGTCAACATTTCCTTGATCACTGACAATATGTTTGATAAACTCTTTTACTTTTTGCTGATTATAATCTCCATTATTATCCTGAATTCCGAACTTTGTAAACATACAGTTAAGATAGCTAGACAACTGTTCTGGATTAAATTTTTGTCCACTCTTGGCTTTAGCTACGGCGTCCAAGTCAACTTTTGTGGCATCATTTGAGTTACACTCGGCAAAATATTTTGGGAATTCTTCCTCAAAGTTAATAGCGCTTACCTGAAATCGTAGTCAATAGTTTATTCAGAGGTTTATTACAATACACTTTATATACATAAAAGTAAGTAATTGATTCAAAATATTTTTATATAATAGAAAAATTTAAACATAGAATGAAAAAATGAACTAGGTATGGTACTTAGCATTCTAAATACAAAATTTTGCACTCAACAGTACAAACTGTGGTTGACACAAAATTTGATAATGCTGGGAATTTTATAGCGCGGCAGGTTAAAAGAAATCGTTTTAGTTTATACCACTCAACAGCAATCAAAAATTGTATCAGTTATAATGTTGCGCTCCACAAAAAATGTTATTTTTTTTCTTGTTCTTCTTCTTTCCTTCTTGTATTTAGACTTTAAAGCCTATTACTTTTTTAATATTAGCTTGTTAAATTGTTTTTCTTGGTCTGTCAATACTTCTTCGTCCATTTAGTGACTTATCTCGTGCTATTCGCACTATTCTATCATCTGCCATTCTACTGATGTGTTCATTCCACTACTGTCTTCGATTTGTCACCAATCCATTTATGGCTTCCATATTGCATGCTCTTCTGACGTTTTCGCTTCTGTCCCTATTTAACAGAATTCTCCTCGATATTCGTTGGAAGATTTTCATATCTGTTGTTTCCAGTAGTCGTCTCGTTTTAGATGTATCTGGTCTTGTCTCCACCGTGTATGTTAATATAGGTCTAATTGCAGCTTTATAGATGGTTTTCACTAGTTACATATATATATATATATATATATATATATAAATATAATATATATATATATATATATATATATATATATTCTCAATATCTAAACATTTCTTCCTACTTTAGTATCTTCCGATCAATTTCGATTTTACACCGTATGGGTGTTTTAGAAGTTGTACATTTGGTTTTTTCTGCTGATATTATTTTTTGGCTGGTAGTTCTTGGTATTTCTTGGCTATTATAATGTGTGTTAGTCTTTGAAGCTCGTCTTCTGTCTCGGCGATTAATGCAGCGTCGTCTGCGTAACATAACATTTGGGTTTATTTGTTCCCCATTCTGTAGCAATGACCTTTACGTACTGCTTGTATTATTTCGCCCAATATTATAAAAAAGAGAAGTGGGCTTAACGAGTCACCCAGTGTCACATCGCTCTGTACTGGTATACACTGTGTTAATTTTTCATTTATCTTTGCCTGTATTCGATTATGGAAGTAGATGTTTTCGTTGGTTTTTATAATATTGACTGGTATATTTATTTTATACAGTAGGTATAATACGTCTTTGACTTGAATGAAATAAAAAGCCTCTGTCAGATCTATAAAACATAGATATGCTGGTTTATTGTACTCGATGGCCTTTTCTGTAATTTTTCTTAGTACAAATACGGAGTCTACGAAGTATCTTCTGGAACTGAATCCTTGTTGTTTATCTATTTAAGTTGTTAGTTTATTAATTTTGTTGGTTAATACTTTTGTGGTTAGCTTAAGTGCGGTGTTCAGTAGTAGATTTATAGCTCTATAGTTGTTGGGGTATTCTTAATCTCCTTTCTTATACATTGGTATAATTATGCTGTTTTTCCATGCATCTGGTATCTTGAAGTGCAATATTAATTTTTGTATAAGGTTTGTCATCTCTACATCTCTAAAATTATACTTTCTCCTCCATGTTTTAGAAGCTCGTTGGTTATTTCGTTGAGTCCTGGTGACTTTCTATTTTTTATTGAATTTATGGCTATTTCTACTTCCTTAAAACTGATTTCTTTAGTGTCTTAATTCAGATACGTTATTGTGTTAATTATTATTTTTCTTGGCTTAAACCTGTTCCTTCTGGTATCTTTTCCATTAGTTTGCTGGTGTGTTATTGTATTCCTTCAATTCTGCCATATCTTTTCGTTGGTTTCTTATGAATCTTCATATTTGTTTTTATGTACCGTAAAAGTTGCTTTCCGTCCTTTTTATTAACTGTTCCCAGTGTATATTTTTTTATTCTACTTACCAACTACCTTGTTTTATTTCGTATTATTATATAGTTACCTTGGGATTCTGGAGCATTTGATGTTTTGTACCTCGTGTAGGCTTCTCGTTTCTCTTCACATTTCTCTTTTATTCCTTTTCTTAACCATGGTGTATTGTTGTTGTTTTTTTATTTAGTATGTCTTTGGTTTTCCTAGAGCTTCTGCTGCTGCTTCTTTAATGTTGCTTTTAATTTGCTTCCAGCTTGCGTTTATATCTTCGATTTCATCTATTTGTTTCAGCTGTATTTTCTGTGCTAGCCTTCTATGGTACATTTCTCTTGTGGAGTCGTTTGACTGCGATTGTGGAGCGATTCTACATTGAATTTTTTCTCGGCGATTTTCTGTAGAAAATTTGGTGTTGGTGTTATTTTCATTCTTATTTTTAGGAGTACTGGTTTGTGTACACTCCCTGCATCTGCTGAGTTTATAGTTCAGATATCTAGAATTTGCTTTAGGAGGATTTTTTGATTAGTGACTATAAAATCAATTATAAATTTATTCTTCCTGGAGTTTTAAAATGTATATTTATACTGGAGCTTATGATTGAAAAATGTATTAACAATTAAAAGCACAGAGATTAACCATGAGTTCTCCATTTGCGTTGATATGGTTTTCATTAAAAGTCACCCATGAGACTTAAGGACTTTTCATGAAGTATTTCGTCCAGGATGGTTTGCAATTGGTTGGAGAATGCGTTTCATTCCCTCCTTTGTTTTGCAGTCCTCGGGGCTATAGATATATCATCATCATCATCAACTAGCCTCTAACGTCCACTGCTGAACATAGGCCTCTCGCATGCTTTTCCACTTAGTCCGATTTTGCGCCATCTGAATCCAATTTGTAGTCACTCTTTTTATGTCATCCGTCCATCTCGTTGGGGGTCGACCTCTATTTCTGTAAGCTTGTATTCGGGGTCCCCATTCCAAAATTCTTTTTGTCCACCGGTCATCAACTGATCTTGCTACATGACCTGCCCAGTTCCACTTTAGTGTTGTTATCTTTTCAATAACGTCTGCTACTCCTGATCTTTTGCGTATAGTAGCATTGGGTATTCTATCACGTAGAGAAACCCCTAACATAACTCTCTCCATAACTCTTTCCGCAACTTGTAGTTTACTCACTGTTGTTCTTGTGAGCGTTAGGGTTTCTGCGCCGTAGGTCATCACTGGCAAAATACATTGATTAAATACTTTTCTTTTCAGACACATTGGAATCTTAGACCTAAAAATATCCTTCATCCTTCCAAATGCAGCCCAAGCGAGGTTTATTCTTCTTTTCAGCTCGATTGTTTGGTTGTCTCGACTTATTCTGATCTCATGGCCTAAGTATTTATAGGAGTCAACTGGCTCAATATCTTTGTCTTCTACTGAGATGTTTTTGTTGTGGACTAAATTTGTCATAAATTGTGTTTTTGAAAAATTTATTTTAAGACCAACTCTTTTTGTGGCAGTATGGAGTTCTTGGAGCATTATCTGTGCCTGATCAAAGCTGTCTGCCATAAGAACGATATCATCTGCAAATTTAAGGTTATTTAAAAATTTTCCATCTACATTGATGCCCTTTTCGTTCCAATCTATTGTTTTACAAGCGTATTCTAACAAAGTTGTAAATAATTTAGGAGACATGTTGTCTCCTTGCCGAACGCCTTTTTCAATACGAAAAGTCCCAGTATCTTCATTAAGTCTTACACAGGCTGTAGCATGTTGATAGATGTATCTGATGAGAAATATGTATCGGTGATCTATTCTACATTGTGTTAGAGCTTGGAGCATTTCACTTTGATTGACCGTATCAAATGCTTTTTCAAAGTCGACAAAGACAAGTATCAGGGGTCTATTATATTCAATGATTTTTTCAATCAACGACTTAATGGTTTGCAAATGATCATTTAATCCGTATCCAGCTCTAAATCCTGCTTGCTCGCAAGGTTAATAGAAGTCTAGTTTTGATGTCAACCTATTATTTATTATCTTCATAAACAACTTATAAACGTGAGATAACAAGCTAATAGGTCTATAGTTCTTTAGCTCTGTTATATCTCTATTTTTGTGCATGACTACTATAACAGCTTTATTCCACTGAGATGGTGTAACCTCATTTGAAAGGCATAAGTTATATAATTGCGTCAATGCTTTCAATACTGTCTTTCCTCCTGCTTTAACTGCCTCAATAACGATTCGATCATCACCAGCTGCTTTATTGTTTATCATTCTATTTAATGACTTTAAGACTTCTTCGATTGTTATTTCTGGGATATCCTCTGAACCCACATTCTGGACTTTTCTCAACTTGGTGCCGTCTTTCTTCCCCCTTTCTCTATATAATTCTGTGTAAAATTCTTCAACTACCTTAATTATCTTATCTTTATCTGTTACCACTTTTCAATTTCGATCTGCGAGCTTAACAATGTTCTTCTTACCTAGAGACTTGACATCTCTTCAGTACCTTTAAACTTTTATTTTTCTCGACAACCGTTGTAATCTTTTTTGTGTTATATTGTCGTACGTCCTTTCTCACTGCTTTATTAATATCTTTATTAAGTTGTTGTAGTACGCGTGCATTCGTATCGTTTTTGTTCTTAAGTTCTCTTCGTGCCTCCATAAGTCTTTTTGTTTCTTGACTGAGCTTTTCCTCCTTAGATATATATGACATTTAATTTTCGGTAGTCCGTTGTGATGTTCATATGTTAATAAGATAAACATATTTTATTTTTGAATGTTTAAATTCTTATCTTGAACTCTTATAATAAATAACAAATATACCTAATTATAATAAATTTGTTTTTGCTTTGTGTATTTATTTTATAACGTAAGGGGCCAGTGTTACAATTTTCCAACACCATTTTTTAAAACAATGGTCGGGGTATTTGCCATAAAATCTGAATATTTACTTATTTATGATTCTTATTATTTACATATTGACCACACTTAAGAGATCCTAAAAAAAAATTACCTGGCCATGAATGGGTTAACTCAGTGCACTGGGGAAGCCACGACGTAAATAATT